TCTTTCCAACCTTTCGTCTCGGCTTCTAATCTCTTTCAACTCTCCGCAAGTGCCACTCCACCTATATCCCTCTTCTCTTGTGAAGCAACTTTAGGGTGTCTTTTAATTTCGAGTCTAGTTTGTAAGTCGTTGTAATTTTGTTTTTAATTTCTAAGTCGGTCTTAGATTTGAAATGTAAGAGTTTGTTCTTCCTCATCTTTAGTCGCTTCTCTAACTTTCGTGAATTAGTGGGTCGTTTAGTATTATCACTCGTGCGAGCGAGGAGTATAGGCTCCCTATATTTTTTTGCCCCCACCAAATCACATCTTGAATGGTGCTTTTACCAAATTTCAAGATATTCAATTAATGAGTTCTCAATTTGCCTTGAACTTGATCAGTTTTAGGACACTGTTTTTTTGGTAATTGGGTGAGTTGATCAAGTGTGTTGGTTCCTATTTTGAAGAATACAGGTGTTGCAGAAGAGTGTGATTTATAGAGGAATTAAGTTAATGTGTCATACATTAAAATTATGTGAGAGAGTAATTAAGTATAAGTTACAATCTGATACTAATATTTCTTAATTAGATTCATGCTGGGTAGGTCTACTATGGAAGCTATACATTTGTTGAGAGTTTTGATGGAGAAGTATAAAGAGTGCAAGGAGGATCTATATATGATATTTGTCGATTTTGAGAGAGCTTATGATATAGTTCTAAGAGAAATGTTTTGGAGAGTTTTAAAAAAAGAGTTAATAATGCTTATATTCAAGTCATTGAGGATGTGTATGTAGGAGCTGTTATTTCTGTTTAAACACAAGGTGGTTTGATCAAGTATTTTTCTATTTCAGTTGGATTACATCAAGGATCAACTTTAAGCCCTTTTATTTTTTCTTTAGTACTGAATGTTCTTATTATATTTGCAAGAGGATGCATCTTTTGTATGATTTTGCCGAAGATATTTTATTTTTTGGTAGGGAGTTGAAGAAAATGTTGAATTATGGAGCGGCCAATCTTAAAGTCTAAAGTTTTTTGTTTGAGTAGAGGTAACACCGAATATATGGAGTATAATTTTAGTAGTAATAGATCTAATGAGGGGATTGTGACTTTGTTTGATCAAGTTATTAAAAATAGTGCATGTTTTAGATATCTCGAGTCCATTGTTCAGAGCGATGGTGGAATAATGAGGATATTATTAGTAGAATTCATGTTGGATGGTTGAAGTGGAGGAATGCATCGGGCCTGTTGTGTGATTGAGTAGATGTATTAGAGACAGCCTATGCTAAGAAAGATAGAGGTAGAATTTAAAAGAGTTGATTAGAAAGTATTAAAAATAATATTTTTTTATTAGATGAGAATTTGACTCTTAATAGAACATAATGGAGAAAAAAATTTATGTAGCTGAGCCCACGTAATGGGATAAAGGCTTGTTGTTGTTGTTGTTGGGTGAGCTAGATCAAAACCATGACTTTGATAATATGGAAGTAATTAAAATTCAATATTGATGCTATCAAAAATTTCTGTAATTTTATTTTTATTTGAACAATAGTATATTTTATGTTCTTTTTTTTTTTAGCTATCTAATGATGGGAAAGCATCCAATGAACATGGTAGGTTGTGCATAGGGCTTGGTAGACCTTTGGTTTGCTGGCTCGATTGGTCCTTTGGTTGCTGCTGGTTCACGGGTTAGTTGTTTGGAGCCTTTGGTGATAAATGTAGAAAGTTGGGGTTGAGCTCATTCCCTTAGTTGTTTGAGCTGAAGTTTAGTAGCTCATTAATGTTCAAAAGGTGGCTCATTATTAAGGATTCAATTTTGGGGTGGACTTGTCCCTTTTCCTTCCCCTTTCTTCTTGTCTCTTGGGAACCCGTGGCTTGTTTTAAATGATGGCTGAATTCTGTGCCTTGAATTTATGTGGGGTTGCTGTTTCCGAGCATTGTCTCCTTGGTTCCGTGCGGCCTCCTTGATTCCTGTGGTTGCTCCTTCGGTTTCTTAAGCTGGGCTGTTTTTCCATGAAAAGCAAATGGGAAATTCCATAAACTTGGTCCTTGGGTTCTTGTGGAAAATTAATGTATGTGACTAATGGTATTCTCCTATCTTGCCTATAAATATGAGAAGTTGTTGTGAAGGAAGGGAGTTGATTATTAGAGCATATTTGCTATTGACATGCGGGTTATTGGAAAAGCTTGCGAGCTTGTTCCATTCTTCTTTCTCATCCCCTCCAGAAATCTTGCGAGCTCTTTCCAACCTTTCGTCTTGGCTGCTAACCTCTTTCGTCTCTCCGCAAGTTTCACTCCATTTGTATCCTTCTTCTTGAGCTTTGGTGGTGATTGTTGGTTGATTTGGAAGCATTTGTTGGAAGAATTGGATGATCTTGCAGTGGTGGACCATCGGTTTGCTAGTCCTATGCACTTATCTTATTTAACCTACAATTCGATGCATGTGAGGAACCCGCTCTGACGGTTGTCTGAGGATAGCGTTGTTTTTCTTTCTTTATTTCTTTAAAAGTCCCTTAGAGTTTTCTTGTTGGATTTGGAACGTTTTAGTTGATTGCTACTTTTAATAGAATTTGGTTT